GCTAAGGTCCCTTCCGACCCTAGAAACTATGAAACTATTATGCAATTCATTAACATACCCTCTGAGGCGAAACAGAATGGCCTTCAGAATGGTCTGATATGCGTATGAAAAAAAGAGAGAAGTTTGATAACTAGTAAGGCTCTTGAAATGTTTAACTTCTGTTTCTTTTCTCTCTGTGCAGAGTGGGGCTTTGTGATGAAGACACGCAAGTTGATTCAGGTCAAATTTCAAAACCGTATCTCTGCAATAGGAATGGGTACATCGATTCAGCTCCAAGGATTTGAAGCTTGCTGATTTTTAGCTGAGGTGATGGCAACCAGAAAGACTGTCAAGTTCAAGAAGGATTCTAACAGTGCTCTCAAGTAGGCATTAGGAGGAAGGCAGCTTGCAACAAGTTTAGAATCAGTTTCTTTTAGCAGTTTCCTTCAAGTTGAACCTGCCTATTGTGGGAATTTTCCAACCCTTAAACATCAGTTCTTTGACAGACTTCTTCATTAATCACTTGTCACTGGTGAGAGATTTAAGAAATCTTCTTGGATATAGCTAAATATGGAAGGTATGAATATACTGGCCAACTGCCCGTCAAGAATGGCATACCACAATATGCGGGGAGGGGGCAGGGGCTAGGATGGAGTGCCGCCACCTAACCCCCCATGCTGCCACTGTTCTGCCTTTTCCAGGGAGCAGGGTTGGGAAGCCTCAGCTCCCCCACCCTCTGTCCAGTCCTTGGCACAGCTTTGGAATCATGACAACACTCCCCCATGCTTGAAGTACTGTGATTGGCTGTTTCCGCCTGCCAATCAGAGCACAAATAAAGAGTGACAGACCGATAGAGACTTAGACTTCTATAAGATCAGAATTGCAGTTATCCTGTGTTGTTGATATCAAGTCCATAACTTGACCACTTCCTGGAACAAAGGCAATGAGTAGATGACTCTGTTTATGTACTATATTGCAAAAATGTCTGTGTACTATAATCTAAATATAGCTTATTTACTATACTGCAAAAAAAAAAAAAAAAATCAGTACTGCAAAGCATTGTAAAATAAACCAGCATGCCACACATTAACTGCCCTGAGTTCTGGGATGTTTATATGAAGTTTTACATTGCCCTGAGACAGACGCCTTGCATGGTCAGATGGCCCAAGCAGAAGCCCTCCCCCAAGCTATCTCTGATGTATTCATGAAGGCAGGGGCTGGTCAGAAAGGGGCACTCTTTTTTAGACACTCAGAGGTCCAGTGATTAATAAAGCTCTGAAATAACTGAATGTGTTCCTTTGGGGTCTCATTAGGAAAAAGATATACCTCAGCCAAAATTCAAAATGGAAGTGAACTTGGACAAGAAGCTTTATGTTCACATATGGACTAACAGTCCAAAACAGACATAGACAGATTTAATTTTATTCTATAAAAGTAATCACTTCAATGACACGAGTCTGTCCTTAGAGAGATGAGCTCCCGGTTACCTGAAGTAAATTGTGACTATGATGAAGGGACAACTTGCAGGCCTACTGCTATGTTATTTTGGCATATGCCTCTAACCTGCCAATCATTCATGTCAGGGTAGAGACAGCTCCTCAAATGGGCTGCCCTCATAGCCAGTTACTTAGATAAGATTCTCAACACTGTTGGGACTAACAGATACGACTCGCCCTATAGCTTAAATAGACAGTTATGTTCGTTCTATAGGCTGAAAGCTATGAATATGTCCTGAGCCTGAAGAGAGAGAACAGCAAAGGTAATACACCATTCTGATCCAAGGATGGTCTTTTTTTTTCCTCTTCTAGGAGAAGACAAAGCTCCCATCTTCTGAACAATAAAATACTGGGAAAAGCTTCTTCTACCACACTACTCTTTTGGTATGCTTGTGGACCAATTAACAAGACTACTTCTGTTTGCAATAGATTTTTATGACAAGTATTCTGGATGTAGGTTAAGAAAAGGGGGAGGGGAACTGGAACTGTATGGAAACTGATGTATAACGGCCATGTGTTACCTGAAGAAGCAGAAAAAAAATAGTGAAAAATGCAAGGCAGCTTCAGCATGTGGCAATCGGGTCTGGACAGGTCTCGATACTGTCCAGCCACTTCTGCTGCTTTGGAGCAGGTAAAAAACTGGGTTAGAGAGGAAGTTGCCTTTTACAACCATTTGGCTCTCCTTTATAAGATTATCTGTGTTTCTCCTTGCTGCCCTGTGGTTACAGGTAAGGAAATCACCATGTTTACTCAAATCCAAGATGACCCTGAATATAAGATAACCCACCAATAATTAGATTCTATATATGAAACATCTATAAAAATTCTTACAATTTTCTAGGTATAGAATGTAATTATTGGAATTTTGCCTTGAATTTGTCCCCTTCCCTCTGCTACAGTAAGGAAAACAAATCTGGGGGGGAGGTCAGGTAGCCTCCTCCCCTACTTACTATCAGACCTTGCTCTTCCTGATTATATGGAAGTGAGGAGCAAATTTGATCTTGAAATAAACAATTTACCATATATGCAAATTACTACAGGTACCCATAGACTTAGGTAATCAAAAATTGATGCATTTTATCATTTTTGAAACTGTTGCAAGTTTTAGCAAAAATACTCCATAAATACACTTTAAAACAGCATCTGTACACCCACTTATATACGGTACAAACTATGCATCACATTAGTCCAAAGCTAAAAGGCTCTCGATTCACCATATAGTTCAAGCAAAGTATATACGTGCTTATGTTTGATATGCAAGGGTTGATGAGCACATAATAGTTCAGAATCTGAACACCTGTTAAAAACAACTTCACTTCTTCCATTTAAACCATATCTCCTACAGAGATCCCTCCCCACAGCTGAAAAAAAAAGGGCACAAGTTCAATGCTCACACTGGAGCAAAGCAGGCCAGACCACTGCCTTCTCTTGGAAGGTTTTTCAAGGTAATTCCAGGTAGCCACTGAAATCAGAATCCTTCCAGACTCTGAAGGGAATGGCTTTTGGGTCTCCTCCCATAACCTCTCAACTGCAATCAGTTTTTATTCCACAAGCCTCTTGCTATCCCAGGCTATTTTAAATGTTCTCTATTAATATTTTTCAAAATGCTGTTTCAAATGATTTACTAAAATACAGTCACTGACATATTTCCATGCCCAAACTATCAAACAGTATTATATCAAAAGGTGGCCAAATTTATCACCTTAATTACATTTATTCTAACTTGTACCCCTTCTTCTACTACATGTTGGCTGGCTGGCCTCAGATCATGAGCACTACAAGGCAGGGACTGTTCACCTCCTTTGTCTGACCAGCACTTTGTACTTTTAAAGCTTACCAGAAACAGTCAAGTATATTTTACAGAAGTACAAAGCAACAATATATAAAGGAAGCAGTTCAACATTTTTAACGATACTATTTTAAAGTCTTAGTTCTCATCTACTGAAATAATGTTTCACAGTAGTTGAGACTTGTTCATTTCCTATAAAATGTGTATCCCTCCCAATTTAATGCTTCATTTGTGTCCAAGCAGCACTCTTATCCACATACCACTTACCTGACCACTAGCAACAACAATGCTGTTAAACAGAACACCACTTTATCGGGATATTTTCAAGGAACCAGTCTGGCTTAGTAAATGAATAACAAAGACTGAAGTATTAGCAAAAGTTCCACTTGCATGGGGAAGCATTTATAGCACAAAAAGGGACTGAGTGGCATTCTGCCATTTATGTAAAAGAGCGAAATTTTAAGCTTGAATATTAAATACAGAAGTTTCTTAGTAATTTAAAAGCAAGATAAAAAGGAACATAAATGTTACCCTAGTATTTTGATCAGTAAATAGAATTTAAATAAATAATTTAAAAAGGACTTGAATTGATTGGTAGAGCCATTGGGGAAAAAGCTGTCCAACAGAGAAGTCTACAAATTAGAAGAGGAAAGGATTATATTGAATAACAAAAAAAATCCACTAACCTGTGAGTTTGCCAAGAGTCCTCAATTAACAAGATTTGTAAAAGTAGATCCAAATAAGGTCGAAGTTCATAAGTATATGAATATGCAACCTTAAACGAGGTTAAAAAGCAGTGATAATTATGCTCAAGTATTCCTTTAATACACACAGATTATATCTTAACATTAGTTAAGATTCAGTTAGTGTAAGTCTGAAACAATTACACTGCTCATGTAAAAACGTGTATATGCTACATCAGTTTCAGGGAAAAAAGTTTAAGAGGTATAACAAGTCAGTTTTATATTGGGGAAGGAAAACCTCTCTGGGATGTTAAGACTAAGCCTCAAGGAGATGGCTCTCCAAGCAGATTTTGAGGTCTGAAATTATAAAATGCAAAAAGGTATAAATAGGGAAAATTTGCTTTTTTGTTACTCCAAAGCTATCTTTTGGATGCACTCTCACTTTTGAACTTCTGCTTCCTAGTATGCTTTAATAAAACTTCCTTGAGTTCCAAGAAACGTTGATCCCTTGTAGTGGGTAGCTGTGTAGAGCACGAAGCAAGTTTTTTTAGACATAGTCCTTTAGGTAATGGTGCTTCCCACTTAATTGAGTAGGGTCAACTTTCTAAGGACCATAGTCGCTCCAAATGTTATCACTTTCTCCTCAGACCTTTAGGCACCAGGCATATAGGGAAGGTTCTCAATGGAATAAGCTTGCCTGTCAAAAGCAAACTACTAGTAAAGGTAACCAGTGACACTGCCCAAAGGAAGTGCCTAGTAGGTGAACAGGGGTAAATTGCTTCATACAGCTGAAACCTATGGACTAGAAATAATTAAAATAGATGAAACAATAGAAATAGCACCAATAATTTATTTGGTGATAGTGGCTAGAATGCTGAAGGAGATGTATTTGTAGTATGTGAGGGAAGGCACACAAAGGCCAGAAGGATCTGGCTTACACCCAACTATTATCATCCTCAAATTATTAATTCATAAAAATAACATGAAACTTGGATCTAAGAGTCCTGACAGAATACATCTTAAGAACATTTACCTAACATTATACTTGTACAATTTATCATACAAGTATCATTCCTATGCACAGTGAACATTTTTACACTTCTAT